CTCGCACCTACTGATGTGTCCCATGTCATATTTCAGGCAGGGACAGCTGCCTCACAGAGATCTCAGTGGGTTTCTCCCTCTGGGAGGTTGGGCAGGCCCCTCGGGAGGAGGATAGCCCATCTCTTGTGCAGCAACCTTCCACCCCTGGGCATCACGTCTTTTCCACAGGATGCTAGCATATCTCCCCCCTGGAGTTTGGCCTCTCACTTGAGTATTTGTTGAAATAAGATATTTTTTCATCACCATAGTATGCTGTTTTCACTTGGCAGGTGAGCTACAGAATATTCTGAGTCAACATTATCTTCATTTTACAAAGTAAGAACTTGAAGCCCACAGGGGTTGAGAGAAGTTAAAAAAAAATGTGTCTAATGTTCATATGGCCTGGTTAAGATGATCACTGGATGCTTGGATTTATGGACTCATAAAATCATTCAAAACAGTGCTTGACGGGTGCCTGGGTGGCTCAGTGGGTTAAACACCTCCCTTCTGCTTGGGTCATGATCCCAGGGTCCTGGGATCGAGCCCCGCATAGGGCTCCCTGTAGCCGTGAGAACACGCCTTCCAGACTTCCCACTGCAGGACCAAGGGCCCAGCTGTAGCTCTCCCAGTTCTAGGCCACTGTTGCCCAGATGCCATGCTGCCCAGGAGCTGTGCCTACCCATGACTGAGCGTGGCAGGGGTATGGAGCCACTTCCCTTCTTGGGAGGCACAGTGCTTTGCTGATGGCCTGTTTTGGCTCAGGGACTCCCTGACAGCCCTGGTCAAACCTTCTTTAGAGTACATTGCCGCCTAGCATCCTTCATCCTGTGCTTTCCCTCCTTCACACAGGGTCTGTAGTGTCCAGTTGCTGAAATGGCCCCATTGATCCCCACCTCCTGGTATTTACATGCTTGTTTGGGCCTTTCTACACTGTGCCCTAGATAATTCATGTGATTGTGCATAAATGATCTGTTTGAATAAAACATAGAAGAAGGGGGTGGTACCTGGCTTCTGAGATTAGGTTATAATGAGACTGCATTTGGGGTTCACTCTCTCTCTCTGTGTCTTTACTGTCGACATTCTTGTATGGGTCTTTTAGTGTATAGTGTATACATTCCTCTACATGTACTAAGGAGAAGAGCTGGTGGGTATGGCGTGTGCTTGGGCAGTTTTAGTCAATATTGCAAACCAAACACTTTCCCACAGCGCTGTACCAGCTTACCTTCCCACCACTGGTGTGGGCATTCCCGTTGCACAAGACCCTTGCCAACTCTTGGTGTTGTTAGTATTTTAGCAATTCTGATTCGAATTACAGTTTTAGTATGTGTTTTTCTCCTACTACCAAAAAAGCCACTTCTTCACCTGTGTTTTTGTCTTCTAGATACACTCTTTTATGAATTGCCTACTCAAATCTTTGTCCAGTTTTCTGTCGGATTGTCTGGCTTTTTCTATTTGATTTGTAGGAATTCTTGGTGTGTTCTAGATATGAGTCCACCTTTAGTGATCAGTATTGCAAATATCTTCTCCCAGGCTGTGATTTAAATTTTTATTCTATTAATATTTTTGGGTAAACAGAGATTTCTTTTTTTAAATTTATTTTAGTCATTCCAATAGATATGTGGCAGTATCCCATTGGGGATTTATTTATTTATTTATTTATTTATTTATTTATTTATTTATTCTCTACACCAGACATGGGGCTTGAACTCAAGACTCCCACGATCAAGAGTGGCATGCTCCACCGACTGAACCAGCCAGGTGCCCAATAAACAGAGATTTCTAATTTTGATGTAACTGATTAATCAATATTTTCCTTTCTTTCTAAGAAATTTTGCCTACTCCAGGTCATAAAGATGTTCTAAGTTATCTTCTAGAAACTTTAATGTTTTAGCTTTTGCATTTAGATTTACAACCTACCTGAATTTGATTTTTGTGTATGATGTGAGTAAAGAATCCAATTTAATTATTTTCCATCAGATGTGTAATTGATCTAGCCTTATGTAAAAAGTATCATGATTCTGCAGTGCCCTGGAGAAACACCTTTGTCATAAATCAAGTGTGCATAGATATCTGTGGCTCCTCTATTCTATTACGTTCATCTGTCCCATTGATAGATACCAGCCCATCTTTGTACCAATACCATGCTTCTTAGTTATAGAAAGCATAGTAAGTCTTGATATCAGGTGATGTAAGTCCTCCAATTTCCCTCTTCTTTTCCAATGGTGTATTGGTTATTCCTGGCCCTTTGAATTACATGTATATTTTAGAATCAATTTATTAAATTTCTAAAAAACAAATTCCTGAGATTTTGAGTGGGATTTCATGGATTCTATTAATCAGGTTGGGTGAAACGAAATCTCCTGTCTGTGAACATGACATAGACTTCCATTGATTTAGTTATTCTTTAATTTTCATCAATAATATTTTATGATTTTCTGTGTGTTGAAGGACAATTTTCAGGAATCTTTTTTTAAAAGATTTTATTAAAAAAAGATTTTATTTATTTTAGAGAGAGAGATAGTGGTGGGGAGGGGCAGAGGAAGAGAGAGAGAGAATCTCAAGTAAACTCCACGCTGAGCACAAAGCCCAACTTGGGGCTTGATCCCACACCTTGAGATCATGACCTGAGCTAAAACCAAGAGTTGGACGCTTAACCACCTGAGCCACCCGGGCGCCCCAATCCTTGTGGATCTTTCACGTTTTTGAATGTCTATAAGCAGAAGTGCTTTGGTCTGGACTATCTTTAAAGGGTGTTTATAGAGCAAATAGCCTTCAAAGATTTGGATAATGTCATCCAAGAGGATAGGGTAAGTTTAATAACTGTTCAGTAAGATAACGGTAATATTTCTCTCTGAGGCAAAGATCAGGAATGCTTCCTACCCATTATCAGAGATTCAAGGTCCCTAAAGTCAGTGTTTCTGTCCTGTAGTGCAACATCCTTCACGTGCAGGCATCACCTGGAACTCTTTATATTGCCCCGCAGGAATCACGGCTTGAGAAACTGGTGAGAGGCTGATGCCCTGGCTATTGCAGTGCTGTGAATATTACACTGTCCTTTGTCTCTGATCCAGGAGTCTTATATCTTCTGCCAACACCCATGCACCTGTAGCAGAATAACTTGGCTTGCAAGTTGGGTAAACTCTCAGAACCCGTGACACTGTGTGGATGTTCTGTACATCTCTTTTTAGATTTACTCCTAGCTACTTGATGTTTTTGATAATATTGTAAATTTTATAACTTTAAAAATTTCATTCTCTCATTGACTGATGCTGATTATGATCATAGTGTTTTCTCCTTTATTCTATTAATGTGGTGAGTCACAGTGATTTATTTTCAGGTGTTAAAGCAACCTGACTTTCCATGAAAAATCTAACTTGGTTGTGATCTTTTAAATATACTATTGGTTGTTTGAGGTCTTTTTGATATTTGTTCATGGTATTTTGTGATTTTTTTTCCCCCAGTCTTTATCCTTCTATGGCTCATCATGGACACGTTTCTTCTGAGTTATCTTTGAGTTGTCTACTAGCATTGTTTTTAATCTATGTCTAATCGGATGTTAAACCCATCTGTGGGTTCAGATAACTTTTTACTTCTAGAACTTTGTATATTATTTTATTATTTCTGGATTTTTGCTGAAATTCACTTCTTTTTATTTAATTTCTTAAAAACCTTAAATTTCTTGTAGTTATTTTAAAGTCTGAGCCTGAAAAATTGTAATATCTAGATCTCTTCAGAGTCTCTTTTGGTGTCTACTTTTTACTCTTAGCTTTCAGTAAGTATCAATCTTTTTGGGTTCCTGCTTATTTTTATATACATGCCAGATATTTCTCTAAATGTAATTATAGTTAAATTGGGACTCCATGAGATGGTATAGTCCTCAAGAGAGAATTTACTTTTGCTTCACAGAGGATGAGTCCTTAGTACAAAGATTGAGCTGATTTGAAGCTGGGCCTTGTTCTTTGTGAGGTAACCTATTTCTGGCACGCCTGGCTCTAAGATGTAGCTCTTCTGATGTCCATACTGGGATGCTTAGGGATTTACTCAGGCCTCTTGATTTCACGGGATTCTGGACCTCTGTTGTTCCAACCACCCCCTACCTCGGTTCCAGCCTCAGCTAGCTTTTCAACTGCTGCTCTGTAAGCTGAACATGTAGCCCTCAGTCTGCTTTTAGCTGGCAAATGTCTCAAGAAGAAAAAGTCAGATCAAACGTAAGGCTCACTTTCCTGAGCTTCTTGTATCTCTGGGATCTTCACAGATGTTTATTATATTTTGTTCCATTTTCCTAGTTATTCATACGAAGGGCTTGGTCTAAAACAAGATACTCCACCAAGATCAAGGAGTAAGTTTCACACATTATCTCTTGAATAAAAGCATGAATAAAAGGTGACTTTTCTTTAAGTATTCTTGTTACTTTTGAATAGCGTAAGATTGAGAGTCTTTTTTTTAAAGATTTTATTGATTTGACAGAGAGAGAGAGAGACAGTGTGCAGGGGGAGTGGGAGGCCGAGGGAGAGGGAGAAGCAGGCTCCCCACTGAGCAAGGAGTCTGAGGTGGGGCTTGATCCCAGGACGCTGGGATCATGACCTGAACTGAAGGTAGACGCTTAACTGACTGAGCCACCCAGGCGCCCCAAGACTGACAGTCTTAAAAAAAGATAGATTTGAGTCTTCAATTTTCACCATGGGTAATGCATATTCTAAGCAAAGAGAAAAATACTATCCACTAGTAGAATATTATCAAGGAATGGAGACCATTTGTGGCTTTCAAGCATGATAATTAGTGATTTTTGAACTATTAAATGGGCAATAGCAATTTGATATTAAGTACTCTACTCATTATTTACTCTTTGCTTTTGTAGACTAATTTTTATTTCTCAAAATATACCCTGCAACAGTTGGAGTACAAGTCAAAACAAATCTAAAAATACTCCTGTGAAAAATGAATCATATACCAGCTGGTTGCTATGCTGTTGTTGACAGGAACCTGGTGATATGTATTGTGGTTTTATTTTCTAAAAAACGATGTGCCTTTTTCAATATAAAAATAATGTCACTCCACGCCATGGCCGCTACCTGACCGTGGCCGCAGTATTCAGGGGCCGCATGTCCATGAAGCAGGTGGACGAGCAGATGCTGAACGTGCAGAACAAGAACAGCAGCTACTTCGTGGAGTGGATCCCCAACAGTGTGAAGACAGCTGTGTGTGACATCCCACCCCGGGGGCTAAAAATGTCTGCCACCTTCATCGGCAACAGCACGGCCCTCCAGGAGCTGTTCAAGCGCATCTCGGAGCAGTTCACCGCCATGTTCCGGCGCAAGGCCTTCCTGCACTGGTACACGGGCGAGGGCATGGACGAGATGGAGTTCACCGAGGCCCAGAGCAACATGAACGACCTGGTGTCCGAGTACCAGCAGTACCAGGACGCCACGGCCGAGGAGGCGGGCGAATTTGAGGAGGAGGCCGAGGAGGAGGTGGCCTAGAGCTGTTACCTGGTAAAGCGCGCGGAAGCTGTGTGAACTCTTTATTCACTCACAACCTGTTCTCTGTGTGCACTTGCTCTCCTTCCTGTCTTGACGTCACATGCTGTACAGACACCACCATTAAAGCATTTTCATAGTGAAAAAAAAATAATGTCACTAAATAGCAACTTTAATGCATGAACTTTTAGTTGTTTTTAGCATTAATCTAAGGTTTACATTTGCCCATATGCTCTCACCTGTCCCACCTTATAGAGTCCTGTCTAAATCTTGCATTTATGGGATGGTCCTGGTGTTATACATTGAGACTATGGCCTCAACCAGCAATCTCGAATTCCTGTACATAACTTTGTCCCCACTGAGTTAATAGGATCAGCTCATGTAAAACCACATAGCTTCATGTCGTTAGTAAGGATTGAAATGTTACTAAGATAAATCATTTCTGAAGGATGATGCAAAAATGTAACTCAAAGTTGTTTATTTGTAAAGGACCCGCTATCTTGAGTCGAGGTATGAGCCTGAATTACTTTTTGGGCACGTACAGTTTCCTTAACAGAAGGAACTTCAGTGAAAGGGGAAAAGTGAGCTTAACTTCTCCTTTGATGAGTCAAACATGCTGACCTTCAAGTGATGTAAAGGCCATCACTGGTTTGGAGCAAGACAGATCATGGCACTTGTAGATCTTGGGCTTGAGAGCAAATTGATGATCAGTGATGATTCCAAAATTCAATTCAGTTCAATGTAAAAATTCTTAAAAATATTTAAATTTAAAAGCCCTTTTGAATTCCACAGAGAAACATTTGTTTAGTAATTGGAACTGTGCTGTCAGGTGCTATAGCTACTTGTCACACACAAGTGTCTGTTGGGCACAAACGATGAGGAAGTCAGGGTTGGGATGGGCTGCGGGTGTAAACCTCACACCAGATGTCCAATACTGAAATTAAAAATATAGAAAATATTTCACTATACATTTTTAAAGTTTATTTATTTAAATAATTTCGACACCCAACATGGGGCTTGAACTCACAACTCTGAGAATAAGAGCCACACATTCCTCCAACTGAGCCAGGCAGGCATCCCTCATCATACATTTTTAATATTAATTACACGTTGGAGTGATATTGTGTATACACTGGGCTAAATACAAAATGTCATTAAAGATCATCCTTCCTAGTCTTTCATCCTTTTTAAGGTGGCTACTAGACAATTTTTTAAAAAGATTTTACTTATTTATTTATTTGACACACAGAGAGAGAACGAGCACATGAGTGGGGGGAGGGGTAGATGAATAGAGAGAAGCAGGCTCCCCACTGAGCAAGGACCCCAGATGTGGGGGTCGATCCCAGGACCCTGAGATCATGACCTGAGCCGAAGGCAGATGTTTAACCGACTGAGCCACCCAGGTGCCCCCGCTCCTAGACAATTTTAAAGCCCACATGTGGCTCACATTATATTTTCTACTGGACAACTCTGCTCTCGAAGCTTACAAAATTTAGAGAACACTCAGGAATGTAAAAATAAATTTCTCCACTGCCAAAATTATTAAAAATGAAATGTCACTAAACATAGAAGTCTCCCTCTACCAGAAGGAATCCAGCCCTGCCAACACCTTGAGCCCACTGAGACCTACTTTGGATTTCTGACCTCTAGGACTGTAAGATAATAAATTTGTGTTGTTTTAAGCCACTCAGCATGCGATCATTTGTCACAGAGCACCAGGACACTAATAAAAACACGGGGAGGAAACTGAGCTCTGGGAAGTGGAGGAAACATAACCAGATCACAGGTTCTCCTGTGATCTCCAGCTGAGCCCCGCAGCTCAGACGTCAGCCCCTGCTTCCAAGAGCAGCAACCACTTTCCAACACCCCCCCAAAGGAGTGTTATCTAAGCTCACTTGGTTCCTTCACTGCAGTGAGGAAAGCTCCCTCAGAGTAGAAGCAATCAAACATCAGAGTAGCAAATAGCTTTTGAAATTTAAGACTTTCTCATTTCCGTTAAAAGTATTTTTGTAATAATGCACTGAGGGAAAGGTGTCTTTCCCTCGGTCAGTATGCAGGAGGGGAGTGAGGCTTGACAGAGAGATCAATTTCAGTATCAAATGATTTATGCGTTCATGACCATGACCTCAGCAATGAAGGTCGTGTGGCCAAATGTTCTAGAATTGATCCAAAGTTTGCTGGAAACCATTGCAGGCATCATTATACAGACCTCATGCTGCATTCTTGTGACTTCATGAGACACAGAGAGGATAAGAAGGGGCTCTCAATGTGTAGTGCTGTCTTAGTGGCAGCCGAATGTCTGTGTAGGTCGGATGGTACGGATGGTACTAGATAGCTTAGGGTCACAGACTTCCTCCCAAAACTGGGGGAACCAACTCAACAGCTGTAAACCAGTGGTAAGTGCAGGCTGGTGGGCATCTTTTCTTCTTTCTGGTCCTCTCCCTTCTTTCCCTGTGTGTCCTGCCTTTCTTCCTTCCATGTTATATTCTTTTCTGTCTTCAGATCCTGTCTAAGGTGATCTCATCCATCCGCATGGCCAGTCCGGTCCTGATGTCTCTGGAAAGCCCTGCTGGCCTGCATGACTGGCCCTGCATGCACCACATATCCCAAACCCAATGGGTTCTAGTTCCCCCCACATTTTCCCTTCTCTTGTGTGTCTTAGCTCAGGCAAGGGCACCCCCAGGCCAGCAGTCACTTGGGTCAGATTCTGGGGTGTCCCCAACTCCCCTCTCGCCTCTCCCCTGGACCACTGCATCTACCCCTTTGCCACCAGCTGTATTCCATCCAGCCTCTTCTCCATGGAGCTATTTTTTACAACCTGGAAAGCCCCCTGGCAGGGGTGTGCCAGACCAACCCTCAGCAATTGGGCGTGTCCTCTCTGCTCCATGCCTCCCATATCCAGTTTCTGGCTGCTACCAGGTTGTTTCTTGCTCTGGGATCCTTGCTCAGGCTTGCATTTTTTTTTTGCAAAGAATGTCCTTCATTATAGGGCTTGCCAAGTTTCTTTCTACTGATCTTTAAGACTCATCCCCAGCTTTACCCACAGCCCTCCATCTGTCAACTCTGCCCTTTGACTTGGCTCTCCAGAAGACAATTGCCCCTGCATCCTGAGTCCCCTGCTCCCCGGGCCGCTGCCCTGCTGTCTGCATAAAGTCCTTTGCTGCACCTGTTGGCCTGGGCATGTTCCACTTGAAGCAGGATCTGGGGACTATGACAGCATCTGTCATGAGGGGGTTGCTCAGTGGGAGATAAGGAGAGTCATCTGAACCATGACGTATTAGGGGATTTATCACTAAAAGAACAGACAACATGCACACAAGTGTTTTCAATACTTGTCCTCATCATTAATCTCCCTAGAAATCTGGGAGCAGATGAATAGCATATATATAATATCACAATATATGTATAATATTGCTTTCTTTAAAATACATCAGTTCAACCTGCATTCAAATGTCAAAAAGTTGAAGAGAAAATGACAGAAACCAAATTACTACTTACTAATCATTATTCATAAGGTCATCTAACAAAGAAATATTTCCTTGGAAAGATTTTCCTTTTTGTTGTAAAGTTTAACAAAGGTACCGTGGAAATGTGTGAACGTACACAAAAGAGGAGGAAAGAGCGTAATGAATACACCCATCACTTGCCTCAACAGCTGCTGATGGTTGAATTTTTTTTTTAACTTGGAACGTTTTAAAGCAAGTCCCAGACATTATAGCATTTCACCTGTAAATATTTTCGAATATATCTCTAATGCGTGTGGACTTTTTTCTTCACAGAGTTACAATACACCCAACAAAATCAACAATAATCCCTTGATATATGCCTATCCTATGATATCTAGTCTCATGTTCAACCTGTCCTGATTGTGTCGAAAGCATCCGCTTAGAGTAAGTTTGTTTCACTTAGGATAAACACAAGGTCTACACACTGAATTTGTTGACATTTCTCTAAAGGTCCTAGAGGTCAGAAATCCAAAGTAGGTCTCAGTGGGCACAAGGTGTTGGCAGGGCTGGGTTCCTTCCGGTAGAGGGAGGCTTCTGTGTTTAGTGACATTTCATTTTTTAATAATTTTGGCAGTGGAGAAATTTATTTTTACAAACTTGTAACATTTTGAAATAATTTCAGATAGAGGAAGGTTACAAGAATAGTACAAAGAGTACCTGGTCCCTTCCATCTAGATTCATGATGTTAAATATTTTGCTACATTTGCTTTATCATTCTTTGTATTTGTTCTATTTTTCTGAACCATTTAAAAGTAAATTGTCTTTTTTTACCTCTAAATACTTGAGTACATTTCCAAAGAATAAGGGCTTTATCTTAAATAACCACAGTACAGTTATCAAAATCAAAATCACAAATTTTCACATCATACAATACTATAACTTGATCCACAGCCCACATTCAAATTCTGCCCATTGCCAATACTGTCCTTTACAGATAGTACTCTTCCCAGTCCAGAGTCTAGTCCAGAATTATGCATTCAGAAGATGCTTTAGTCTTTAATCTGGAATAGCCTTTCTTTGTGTTTCTTGACCTTGACATTGCTTTAGCGTGTAGGACAGTTCTTAGGTGGAAAATCCACAATTTGGGTTTGTGTGATACATTCATATAATTTGATTTAGGTATGCATTTTTTAGCAGAAATACTCCAGAAGCAATGTTGTGCCATTCTCAGAGCATCTTGCCAGGCAGCATCTGATGTCAGCTCATCCTGCTACTCATGATGCTAGATTTGACCGCATGGTGAACATGGCATCTGCCAGTTTTGTTTTCCACTATCAAGTTCTTACTTTTCACTTTGCAATTCACAAGTGATTTCTGGGGAGATACTTTGAGACCATATCAATATGTGGCTTCTCATTAAACTTTCACCTGCTAGTTTTAGGATCTATTGATGATTTCCTAACCCCATTACTTCTTTATTTACTATTTTGCTTTCTGTTGTAAGGACAAGATTTTCCATTCCCATTCTCTCTCTCTCTCTCCCATCTCTCTGTCTCTCCATCTCTCTCTCTCTCTCTTTCTCTCTCGATATATATGCATATATGTATACACACACATATCTATCAATGTGTAGTCATAGATTCTGATTTTGTTCAGAGGAGCATAATCTGTTGCACTTACTATTGATTTCAATGTTCACCTTGTC